GGGAGGAGGGAGAAGCTCAAAGTATGGGATTCAATTGTCAGGCCGTGTTCAGTTCCCTTGTCACACTGCATTCTCCCGCCTACATGTTGGGCCATAAGTTGATTGATTGTTTGTCGGGGAGAAACTCAAAGTATGGGATTCAATTGTCAGGCCGTGCTCAGTTCCCTTGTCACAATGCATTCTCCCGCCCACATGTTGGGCCACGAGTTGATTGATTGTTTGCCAATGTCCATGATCTGAAAACTGGGAGGACGCGCAGTAGAGATTTATGCTCCAACCAATATGCAAGCCAAGTGAAAAAACACTTACGACTATTCATTCAAGGAAAAGGATGAAGAGGAATGGAAAGAGAAGAAGAGAAAGGAATAATGGAGAAGATTAACGCAAAGTTCCCTGAGCGATATCAACTCGTACGAAATTCAATAGTAGTTGATACAAAAATAAAAGATGATGCAAAGCACCATAGCTTGTAGCACAGACTGACGTGTACCCCATGTCCGACGTTTTACATACGTTTCAGCCGGTTCGCCAGTATATCGGCCATCATCAGGGGTAGCGTTGGTGATACGTTTCGGCACCTTCGCCAGTATACCGACCGTCATCGGGGGTAGCACTGGTGACAACAAAGAAAGAGAGAAACTAATCCTAAGTAGTACCTATCGACAGACCTAAGCACCCATGGGACAGACCCGGGGACCATCGTACCTATCCTAAGAAACAGGCCTGAAAAGTATCTCGCGTACCTTGAAAAAAGTACCAGCTAAACAGAGGGGGTTTACCCTACTACACTGAGGGGTAAGGCCCAACAAAATAGTTAAAGCCTAGTCTATCCAACTCGTGAAGCAATGGACCCTGGCTGACCAGTCCCCCGCTACCTTAGTATTGAAGGCTATCAGGTCCCTATAAAAAATATAATCCAAAAATTTTGTAGCCCGCAACTCCATTTTAAGGCTAAACAGAAAGACCGCCTCTATGGCCGGTAAAGTGCCCATATCATACGCCTTATGAAAAAACGACGTGATGGCAGCAACCTTCTACTGCTTATTACTTAAGGAATATAAATTCTGCAAATTCTGAAAAATAATACCGTCATCTTCAAGAATACAATCCTGGTTTTATGCAAGGCCTGACAATATACCTTCGTCGGTCGTTCCCCCACCAGGATCCGACAACCTAGATATGGTCGCTCTATACCGTTGCTCGTCTCCTCCAACGCCAAGTGTTTATTGTTACAAGAATCTTGAAACTTCAAAAGAATCTGCTCAGCCTTGACCTTGGAATTATGATTACCTAACCTATACTTAACAAAATAGACAAATCATCAATCAGACGACATCCCTTCACCAGTCAGGCATCATTACCCAATCTTTTTAGAAAGGTAAATTCGTTATGTACGCACATAAAAAAGGCAAGAGCCGAACTTGAAGATTTGTTCATGGGAATCACTAAATTTTGTTTGAAAGCAATACCGCCAGCCATTGTAAACGTATTGTCCAAATCATACTGAATGAACCTAATTAAGACGGAAAATCTTACTGGCTTGCGTCCTACTTCATTAACAACCACCTTAGATAGTCGGGCCAGCTTCTTTCACGAGTGAACCAAACACTTATAATATTCTTTCTCCTCAAATAAATTGATAGCTCATTCAACCGCTGTAATGATGGCGAAGTGCAGAAGCTGGCAAAACATTTCCTTGACGTTGAAACTACCAGTGATCAACCCTTCATTGGTACTGATATCCTTATTAACCCTGCCCAAAAAAAAAGTCAAGAGATTCGTGCTACGCAAATTAAAGTGACTTAGAACAGGGAAACGTTTTAAAAGCTCATTCACATAAAAGGATGTTATCCCTGCAGCTCATCACCAAGGTTCCAACCAAGAAGGGCATATTGGTCTCCACTTGTTCACATCTTTGTGTTTCGAGATAACAAAGATCTGCCCAGTTTTCCACTCCTCACCCAGGGTGCAATCTGCGCGAACTTCCCATTCCTGTACAATTCCCTACACCTAGCCGACACAACAGACTCATCATCTCTAATTTTCGTAAGCCAGGATTATCAGTAAACAACTTTGTTATACGGCGCGCATACACAAGCGAACAACATGCATAGGTATCTCCCGCGTTATGCTTCAAGGGGCATAGCACAAGCCCCTCAAACCTCTTCCTAAATGCGGAAATCTCATCCTCCAGAATCTATTCCATGTTCCCCCATTCGTAGACAAACAATCCTCCAAATCAGCTTTTGGAAGGTCAATTACAATTCCAAAGAAATCAAACAAGGAAAAATCTAATTTGCTTACTAAGACTACTTGTATTGATAGAGTAATTAGGAGAAACTATATCCTTGGATTTTAGCGAACAGGGAGGTAAGGACGAGGACAATTGACTGCATCGAAAAGAAACATGTTAGTGGAACAAAGAAACATAGACTCCGCATTTTCACAAGAGCATTCATAGTTGCAGACAGAGTCTGTCAGACGCATACTTCTGGAAATTATGTATCAAATCCCCAACGCAGCTGTTATTTACCAAAATCAGCCAAAAGCAATGACAAACAAACTCCAAGTACTGGGGGGGAAATTTTAGACCACGGATAATCTTCTTACAGAGCTCCCTAAGCTTATTCCTAATTAACCTATCATCGAATCTAACCCTAATAGTCAACCAGACTGAAAGACAGAGAGAGAATCTTTTACGACAAGCATGAGAAAGAATAAGCCTAAGAGTAGATCTAGATCGTTTATTAGAGACAACGCGTGCGGCGTTATAATACCAAATAAAGGTGTGAAGATCCCAGTGAGCTAGCTCTTTTCTAGAAGAGCGAATACTAAGTAACTTAATCAGAGTGGTCTTAAGTGGTGAAGTGTGAAAGCAGAAACGTGAGACGGTGTAGAATGAAATAAAATTATTAAGTTTGAACTAAGCTTGACAATTTTTTAGAAGGGATAATGAAAGACCGACAGCAGAAGCACTGGAAGTACCAAACAAACGCTTGATTAGTTTCCACTTCTCAGAGAAAATAATGCCAAAAGAATCTTAATAGAAAAGAGAAATAAAACATTTATATCCAATGTCTCTTAAAGGATTGAAATGAGACTAGCAGAAGAAAAACCGAAGTAAGAGATACATTTGAATGAGACCAAATCGTTCTTCGCTATCGATGAAACATTCCTATGTGCCCCCCCCATCGCCCTTTTCTTCTTACCCAGACGACATACCCTAAAAGAACACTTCCTTTTTACAACAGAGTTCAAAGTCGGACATACCGAATTGATAAAGAATCTCTCTGCCCCCAACAAGTACAACTTAGCAGTAGAAAAAGTCAGAATAGCCACATCATTGTGAAACCCAACCCTTCGTAACCACCTATACAACTTCCTATTACCCTTTGTTTTTCCATGCGGCGTAGACGAAGTGACATGCTCCTTCCAGTGTTTGATAAGTGACCTAGAAGTACATCCTATATAGATATGGGGGAACCAAGGAGAAACGAGGGTGTAAACTACAGGGCCAGGACATAGATTAAAATCGTAACTATTACAAAGGAAGACAAACAGAAGATCGATAAAACTACTACACCACGAAATCAAAAGAATAACAATCAGGCGATAAATAAATTGAACTTTAGTTGCAGGCAATTCATCTTGAAAGTCCTGGCATAATTGGGCCAGTTCCCAAAGATTTGATGCGCTCAGGGAGTGCCATCATCCCTCATTGACCTCCTCAGTGGAGGTAACATAACTCTACTCCCAA